GATAGTGTATTCACTTCCTGCCTTCTTCTACTTATAATGCCTGCATAATTTTCAAGCATCCCTTTGAGTCACAAGTGCTTCTCACCTGTGCAGATGTGCTCCTGAGCTTCTGCAGGCCATTCTCTAGACGTTCCATCTTTGCTTTCAATTCCTTCTCCTTTTTAGACAGCAAATTCTGATAGAGTTTGATTTGCTCCAGGAAAGACTTGGGGGTGGTGTAGTTATAACGACGTTCATTAGTCAGGTAAGAACGGGATATCTCATTAACACTGGTGTGCACGTATGCCATGAATTTGCTTATAGATTCTTTCACAGAAGGCTTAAAAGCAAAATGCAAGAGAAGATACTTCAAGCAAAATAACCAAGCAGTTTGATATATTTCAAGGGAAATAATTGAACAGCTAAATGCCCTATGGATAAAATCTTAAACTCAGGGCATTTTTCACCATGCCTCACCACTATAACAAAACAGTATAAAATGGAAAAAAACCAGACCCTTCCTCAATTATCTTCTCAAGAATTTGTTTCGATCCTGACATTTCTACATGGGCTAGGTTGTTCAAAAACATATTTTACAGCTTATTATGATGTGTGTTTGTGTGCATACAGTAGAGATGGATATGAATTAAAAACAAATCACCAAATTCTTTAAAAAATTGCTAACTTGTTAATTCATTTTTGTACAAATCAATGCCCTGATGAATATGGATCAATGAATTTTTAGTGATTTTTAATTCGGTGATTCATTTGACTATAAACACACTATAAAGCACCTAGAGACACCAAAATTGCACGGAGGTTTCCTCTAACTCTCCCCTACAATCCCTCTAAGTTTGTCACGGTTTGGTTTCCCCAAGTCAACTGCTAAATGACACTTTCCTGGGGAGACCCACTTTGTGAGTGTATAACCTGGGTGTCTGAAACCCAGACCTAGTGAAATGTCTCCTCAGTGTATGTCTACACGGAACAGAACTTAAGAAAGTTACTCTTTTTTTAACTACGATTCCAAGAGATGGCGGTTGTTGGAAGAAAAACCAAGCTCTGATAAAGTTTACCATACATAAATCACAAAGTAAAATTTCCCTTGTCTGGCAATGAACCAAGATGTCAGAGAGAGTAATTATGAGGCAAGCCTCAGTTTATTGTTTACCTCAATGCTTTCTGTCCCTTGCAAGAAGCGCAAGCTGACAGACTCCAGCGCTTCTTGGGGCCATTCATGGAACCAGTCTATTGATGTGCAATTCACAATGGCAGGGAACTTCCGACTGCGAATTCTCAGCTTGTTCCCCACTGGGGAAAAGCAAAGAGCAACCTGGGGAAAGGCAAAACCAGCAATGGGAAATGAAGAAAGAAGCATAGGAAGCAGCCTTATTCTGAGTCAGACCATCCATTCATCTAGCTCAGTCCTGTCAACCCAGTCTGGCAGCAGTTTGCTAGGCTTCCAGCTAGCAGGAAGTCCTCCTGCCCTACTTAGGGATGCTAGAGGCTGAACTCGAGACCAAATGGGTGCTCTGCCACAAAGTGATGGCCCTTCTTTCTAACCGGACAAAGAAAAATACAGAAAGTTGTTGTGGAAGTATAACTTCATTTTATGGCTTTTAAGTCATAGCAGAAATGAGCTCAATAAGTCCTCCGAACCTGCATGGCTCAGGACCACAACATGGAAACAGTAAGGCCTAGCATCTATGACTTTCCTAAAGAGTCATTCCTGTCCAGAACCCGAAATAAATGCATGGTTGTTATTCTCATGTTAATGCAGGAACCAGAAGTCTTCCCTGGAGGTACAATTTGTATTGCAGGGATATTACATATTCTCTACAATGAAATGGTAATATTTCACTTCCCTGCATGAACACATTTGGAAGGAAATGCTTATAAAATTATTACTTGAAAAGCCCACCACCAGAAATAGCTGCCAGAACCAAAAGAGCATTTCCTTTTGCAAACACAATGGAAAACGAGAAAGCCAATGACAGTAATACCTTGAGCTGCCGTCTAACACGGTCAATGAAAAATTTCCAACAAGCCTCTCTGGTATCCATCAGTCCTTGGGCTTTTACTTCATTCCTCATACTACTGATGATATTCTCAACTTCGTCATCAGGGAAAAGATCAGGGATTTCTCCTGGGGGAAAAAGCATATCAATTTCCAGTTATGCTCTTTGACCCAAGGCAGTTGTAGAATGTCATTAGGTAAGATCCCAAGGAAAACATATTGAACTATGTCAAGAAACTCACTTTCACCATCAAGGGCCTCTGAATAAGCTCACAAAGACCCCAAAGACCCAGCCGCCATGACCGGTGATCAAGGATTCTGGGAGCTGAAGTCCAATACATTGGTGGTACTAAAGATTGAGAACTATTGCCATAGGGAACATTTTAAAAGCTAAATTAACTAAAAAGAGACACCCGGATAAGATTCCTAGAACTAGTACGAGATATAGGAGCCTCGTGGCGCAGTGGTTAAAATGCTGTACTGCAGCTAAAAACTGTGCTCACGACCTGGGGTTCACATCCCAGGTAGCCAGCTCAAGGTTGACTCAGCCTGCTCACAAAGACCCCAAAGACCCAGCCGCCATCAAGGATTCTGGGAGCTGAAGTCCAATACATTGGTGGTACTAAAGATTGAGAACTATTGCCATAGGGAACATTTTAAAAGCTAAATTAACTAAAAAGAGACACCCGGATAAGATTCCTAGAACTAGTACAAGATATATTCTGAGAGTATATGCCATCAAGAGTGCTCTATACAGCTTAAAAGATGCATTCCAGGAGTGTGAGAAAGGGAATCTAAAGGAATTTTTTCCTGACAAACAATGGCACCTGAACAAAAGCTGGGATTTCAAAAGGGTAAATGTTTTCTCTAGAGAACATTTCATAATTTTAGTCTGTTGTTGCCTACATATGAAACTGAAATTACTGAGATCCATACCAGAAGCCAGTAAGTCGTTGACCAAAACTAGGAACCTCTCATCTGCCACTTGAGCATCTGTCATCAGAAAGACTGTCCCCACATTTTTCATTCCTGCTGTAATGCACTGGGATGCCAGGTCTGCCTGTAGGTCAAGGAAAATGTTATATTTCAGCATAGAAGAGTCTGAAAGTGTGGTTTTCTTTCCTATGTTTCCATGTGCTGTTGTTGTGTGCCCAACAATTAACAACAGGAGTGACGTTGTAGTCAGAAATATATGTACAGCATTCCACCTTGCAGAAATGGCAGTAGATTAGGTTTGATTATGAATTCAGTCATCAACGTGGTTAAAATCTCCCTCACAACAGATGACTATATATAATATAGTGAGGGAGATTCTAACCACGTTGATGACTGAATTCACAATCAAACCTAATCCACTGGCATTTCTGCAAGGTCAAATACATGTGTTTCCGAGTCCGACTACAATGTCATTCCTATTGTTAATTGTTGGGCACACCACAGCAGCAAATAGGAACATAGGAAATAAGACTATACAGTACTGTACTTCCAGATTCTTTCTCAAGAAGTACAAGAGCACAATTCAAAGTTTATTGTTCAAGCCACTTTAATTGTTGAAGACCTTTGCTAAATCATTCTATTGACTAATGCTAAATGCAAAATGCTATATACAGAACTGAGGAAGATCATATACTGTACTGTGACAAACAGACATTTTTCACCACTTGAGGGAGCACCTCAAAATATGTGAAGTAAGCATACCGTCTAGTGTAAGCAAATGCCCCATCTTGCAGGGTATAAATTAAATATGTTTAGATTTCAGATGAAGTCTTACCTTAAGCATGGATAACAGACAAAAGGAAGTTTGATATTCCCCCTCATTCCTTTGGGTCTTCTCTGAGGAGAAAATCAGGCTATAAATATTTTCAAATAAATAGAAATCTTTATGAGCCTCTTACCTTCAAGTCAGGGATCCCATAGCCTTTCCTCAAGGTGATTTGGAAGACCTCCAATGAGCTAATGAAAGCTGCCAGTCTTGTCAGGCTCTGCTTTCCACTTCCACCCACTCCAACCAGCAACGCATTCCCTCTGGGAGATTCCAGGATACGATTAATTCGGCAGCTAAATAGAAAGATATGCTTCTTGATAAGCATTTTTCTTCTGTGGTACATTTTACTTACAGGACACAGAGAGTAAACTGTTAGATTCAGAAGTACGTAGGTGCAAAATATCAGCCCAGAAAAGAAAACATCATCAGCAGTATCAACTTCATGACATTTTGAGTTCCTTTTGGCCATTTCTTCGGTGTGGTTAATGTGTCATCTCTTCAACTAGGACAGAACCTAATTACGCTTCTTTGTAAACATAAGTAAACTATTTGAGCAATCACAAAAACTTCCTAAGCTATATCTAACCAACAAACCATGCTTTACCAATTCATTTGTTTCAGACATCGTATGGAGTCTGAAATTTATGGAAAATGAAGTTTGCACTTGGTGAATTTTTATGGCTAGGAGAAGATTCTTAAGTGGGTTACATCTTCCCTGTAGAAAAAGAAAGGCAGAACTGAAAAGCTTTCTCAGGCAGGAAGTCTTTGGACCTACCTACAAATTCCTAGCTTGTCTTCCCACCTGAGATACAGAATGTTGGTAGTGACTGGGTGCAACATCACACTGAAGATGTACAGTAGGATCCCCATATTCATGGAGGATCAGTTCCACAAACTACCATGAATCCCTGAAACCATGGACACAAAGGAACCCTATATACAACATACAACCAGGACAAAGGCCACAAGGGGTGGGGCACAAGCGAAAAGCAGGCAATCTTATACTGTATGTTGTATATAGGGCTGCAGCAAACTGCAGATAAGTGAAACTACAGATATCAATTCCCACGGACATGGAAGTCCTACTGTACAGCTTTAAATGGTGGGAAGGGAAGGAAGAAAGAGGGACCTTCAAGTCTCCAAGGCTGTAATTTATCTGTTCTCTTTCCTTCAACCCAGATTACTATTCTTAGTGTTGCTAATGTCACTTCCTACTTTTTCAGATTTCCTCATTTCCTACTTTTTCACACTGCTTTCATAAAAAATAATTTCAGCAAATCATGGGCATGCAAAGGAGAGCCTCAAAATTTGTTAGCATTTAGTAAAGACAGAGTTTGGCTTGTAAGCTAGTAATAGTGCTTCTAATAATGAAATCATTATCTCATGCACAACATTTGTTTCAAGCTTCCTTGCTATGAGAAAAGGAAGTATTTCTTAATAATCAAGGCTGCATTTATGTACAACAATATGCAGAAACAAAAACACAAATGCAAAATAGCATCAAATAACATAAAACATACTATCCAAAAGAAAAATAAAACCCATCTGGGGACTTTTTTTTTTTAGTGCCCCAAAACTTTTCTCTGCCTGTATTAAATGTGCTCATTAAAAGCAGGTCGTAATACTTCTGCCTTCCATCACTTACTGCAAATAGAAACAGATGCTAGGATGCAGCAGGTGGTGGTGAGTACGTCTTTATAATGGATGCAGTTTATTGTGAAAGCACCAGCGGCTTTCACCTACAAAAAGGAGTAAGATGGAAACATCTAACCTGTGTGGACCAGTGCACATTCAGCTTGATCAGAAGAGAAAAAAAACATCACCCTGCTTTTTTTGTCCAGGTTGAAAGGTAGCCTCCCAAAGGGGTCACGTGAATCAGAACACCGTCACAGCTTTCTGCTTTTCTAGGGAGAACAAGGACCTTTCACCCCAGTTCTGAGTTCAGGCTGCAACTAGATAAAGTAGGCCTGACATCTGGCTAATGCCTGGAGAGTCTCTGAAACATGTCTTGCTTATATAAGGTTCTCACACAAAGTCGCTGTGGGTGCCTGCTTTCTTGCACTGAATGCCAGATCAGAGTACAGCCTGGTCGGCACGACACCAGTGAAGATAAAATGCTCGCTAGTAGCCAAATGGAATAAAAGCACTGTGGCATGCAACAGCACGATGTACTATTGTACTAGACATCAAGGCCCTCTGGTGCAAGAAATGAAAGGACGCTGCACTCCCCAGAACACAAAGGAACACAGCAGCGAGAGCAAAGGATTGTACGGATTGCTTGCTTTTGTGACTGCGATTGAATTTGCTCCCTGCAGTTGCAGAAACAGCCCGCCTGCCCCCCTCTTGCCACTTTCTAATGAAACAAGTTGCACTTTATAGCACCTGGGAGGGGAGATGGGGGTGATCTGGGTTTCTGAAGCACCTGCATTGAGGTCACTAAACTCGGGCAACCCAAGCAAAGTCTGTTTGGAGCTATAAACTGGTGGCTGCATCTTGGTCCTGGACAAGTTTAAGGAAAAAACTGGAGACACGCCTACCCACGCATCATCTCAGTTGATTTATTTACACATGCATGTATTGCAATCTGTTGTTTTTACAATGTGGCCTTCTTGATGTTGCAGGGACACCAGATGATAAACGACACAGCTATCTTAATAAATGAGGATTTGAGCTGGTCATCACTCAAGCGGATATATTTGCAAGCAAGGGTTCGCCTAAAATTTCCCCTTCCTCTGAAGGACTGAAGAGAGGGTTGTAAGCATCCACAAAAAAGACTCACACACCATGAACAAGAGAGCTCTGATTTTAAATAGCTGATCAATGAGAAACAATAATTTTCGGATCCTTTGCCCAGAGATCTCAGGCCAGAAACAAATTTAAAAATCTTCCATAATGCAAGCTGAAAGCAGGCTAACGTTGCAGAGAGGTGACTGAGACAGTCTTTCTGGATTTGCAAAATAAGACTTCAAATTCTGTACTCCAGTCCTGAACATCAATCACCAATCAAAGCAAGCTAATTTGCATACATTGAAGAGTGACAGAAGCTCCTGCTGTGACACACAGATAATTTCAGCAGTGAAGAATTTTCCTCTCCTAATCACTGGCTATTTCTAACATCTGTTTCTATTTTTAAGAGGCATTGGTCACCCATTGCTCCCTTACTTCAAAGTGGATTTCAAATATGACTTCATACAGTTACCCATCCCAAATTAAGGGAAAGCATACAAGGATTCCAAAATACAAGATTTTCTCCTTACATGTGGCACATGGCATCTTCAAACAGCACCAGGTTCATGGCAGCATTGACTTCATTATAGTTCTCCAAGGCTTCCACTAAGATTTGGTTCAATACTTCCCAGTTCTGGACAGGCATGTACTTGGGCTCCCCAATCCCTTTTGCAAAATGACAAAACACGTTCATCTTCCTTGTCTGTTCCAAGGTCTCTTCTATATCCTAACAGGGACAAAGGGGACAAAGGTGAAACCACAAAGATGAAACCTGCTCAAACACAGCAGAAAAAAAGTCAACAAAAATATCATCAGGCATCAGCTACCTCCTGGCTCTTGAGAAGAGAAACAACAGAATTGCTTGTGTCCAAGCTCCTTTCCACCATCTCTCTTTCATCCAACACAACTCAACATCCTGCTTTTTACTCTCTTTTTTTGCAAAGATGATCCTTTTTAGCTTCTCTCTCTCTCTCTCTCTCTCTCTCTCTCTCTCTCTCTCTCTCTCTCTCTCTCTCTCTCTCTCTCTCTCTCTCTCTCTCTGTGTGTGTGTGTGTGAGAGAGAGAGAGAGAGAGAGAGAGAGAATATGGTGCTTACTTAAGCCCAAAGACAGTTCTCATAGTGGTGGAGCAGGCAGTAACACATTCTATAGCTACATCTCCTTCTCAAGAACTGCACACGATTTCTAAACTGCCCAACATTTTCTCACATCAAAGAAGAGAAACGATACGATTCAGGCTTCTGTGCACAACAGCTTCTGAAGTGCCCATGTTACACAATTTGTTTTGGCCAAGAATGTAATGCTCAGAGAGATTACCTGAACTGGTTCTAGATCACTTACATCATAAAATTTCTTTGTAGTCTCTATTTGCATTTTTTCAAATACGGTGAAGTCCTTTTCATCAACCATCTTATCCCGATAAACCCGACTGGATTCATGCAAGTAGAGCTTTACTAAGTCCTGGGGAGTTTTCAGGCATTCAGGAGTTGAAAACAAAATACCCTGGAAGAAAGAGGCATACATGTTGTGATGGTACAGACATAACTCTGTAGATATAACAATGCAACTGAAATGAAATATCCAATGGCAGTCCGTGCTACTATCGCCTTAATGGGAGTGTCATTCATCCCAGTTTATTCTATACTGCACCACTAAAGATTTGCATGACACGGACTATCTTGGAATCCCTCTCATTTCAGGCTGCATTCTGAGGCTACAAGTCCACTAGTGAACAGCTTAGAAAGTAGCATAGTGCTACAGCAATACAACAACCTAGCATAGATATTCCGTTATATCTGAAATAGCACTGTGTCATTTAGGATAGTTTTTTTTAATTTTGAGAAGATGAAAACAGAGGAGAGGGTTTCTCTGCAGTCCTTTCTATTGTAAACCCACTTTAGTTGTCACCAAAGAGAACGTCATCTACAGTTCTGTTTGGGAGTGAATTAAGCATCCACAAAGACTGCAGAAAGGGATAATTAGAAGCACTCCCAATTGCACCAATAAACTTCAGAGCTGTGCCAGAAAGGAACAGAACAGCTTGCAAAAGAGGCAAGATATATCGTTCTTAAAACACATGTGGTCACCAGAAAATAAGGCAAACCAAACCACACCAAAAGTGAACTGAAAAGCAAGCTATATGCTCATCTGATTGCCCCCTTACTGCCATTGTGGCAAGCATATTTACACTACCACTACCACTACCACTACCACTACCACTACCACTACCACTACCACTACCACTACCACCACCACCACCACCACCACCACCACCACCACCACCACTACTACTACTACTACTACTACTACTACTACTACTACAATCTCCAGAAGTTCAAATGTAAGACTTCTGGATGAATTCAAAACAGGGAGAGAGAAAGGGGGAAGCCAAAGGAGTGAGAACATTTCATACCAGAGTGTCTGAACTAGGATAAACAGCCCCCATTAGCTATGTCATGTAACCCTCATTTCCCTGGCAGTATTGCATGTAAGGTTGCAACATATTCAATATTATCACATGATCTAAGGCTGAGTTACTGAAACAAGCCTCTGGGCTAAGCTCTGATCTGTCTTGTCACTGCATCCTGAATATTATAAAGACCCAAATAAGCCCACTGTCATCCTCATGTCCTGACCGCTAGTCTGCAGTGCCCAGCTGGTAAGGGAGCAAATCCAACAGGACTTTCCGGAGGGACCAAAAAAACAAACAAACAACTGTCTTGGGTTGATATACATTGATTATGGAAGAAAGGACTTCAATGGATCAAGCAAAGAAAGGGTCAGATTACAAGCCAAACTACAGTATATTATAAATTGCAGTCCTACCGAGGTATCATTTCAAACAAGGAATAGCTGAAAGAATAGTATGAAAGAATAATCAAAATCAGGTTATCAGGGATCAATCAAGCAGGGAAACACAGGACAAGAGAAAATGGCAGCAGAGACCAAGTGGCTCATGGACTGACAAAACAGGTAGAAGGTTCCAGATGCAAAGCAGAAGTGTCTTCCCTATAATTTCCTCAGCCATCAGCTGAACCTCTTCTAGTGCAGCTAGGCTATAACCCTCTGAGGACTCAACTACATGATTTCTAGCATCACACACACCCCCGAGAGCTTGTACAGTGGTGCCTCGCTAGACGATAATAATCCGTTCCACTCAAATCGCTGTTTGGCGAAATCATTGTCTAGCGAAAAGCATTTCCCCATTGGAATGCATTGAAACCTGTTTAATGTGTTCCAATGGGGAAGAATCGTCGTTGTCTAACGAAGATTGGTCATAGGAAAGCCGCTTTGCAAACTGCCGATCAGCTGTTTAAATCACTGTCTTGTGAAGCTTAAGTCCTGAAAACACCTGTTTTGTGAGCACGGAGGGAGCTGTCAAAATCATCATCTAGTGAAAATTGGTTTGCGAAGCAGGGACCAAACACTGTCCAGTGAAATTCCCCCATAGGAATCACTGTTTTGCGAATCACTCTAACGATCGCAAAAAGTCAGTGTCTAGCAAAAAAACTGTCATGCGGAGTAACTGTCTAGCGAGGCACCACTGTAGTTTGGCACTGTGGGTTTTACAAAGCATCACCAGCCAGAATATATACCATCAGCCAGACATCTCCACCCTCCAGTTGTCTAGTGACAACAGCTTTCAACAAAAGTTACTTCTTCAGCATTTGAGACATTTAAAATGTAAACATCCAACTCCAAACTGTTCATATGTGGGAAGATTTGTAGAATCTTGGCATCATTCTGTTTTACCTCAATCAGGGAACTTAACCTTTTTTTCTCATATGAAACCCCACCCCCACCCCAGGTCTTCCACACAAAAAAGCCTTTGGCAATCTGGCAGAGCTCTGAAGTTGCAAACTGACTTTTACTTCTATTGCTCTTTTTGGCACCCTGCCATTATCTATATAGTCTTGCCTTATCTGCCCTCAGTCATTAATATTGTTTTTCAGTATTGGTCCTCTTAATAGTTTCACTGCATGTTCAGCAAAATACAACTAAGCTCCCTTTGTGCCATTAAACAGCTATTCTCCATTTGCCAATTGATTTTTCACCCTGGCCAGAGAAAGGTTGTCCAGGAGTGCAATCTCACCTGCAGGAGCTACAAGAGACATTGAAATTCTACTGCGTTGCCTTTCCAGACATAAATGTTGAAGAAAGCTTAAGGCATGACCCTCTGGAGGAGCTGGTCAAAGACATACTCACAGCTGGGATAAGGGCTCACTAAAGAGTAAACCAGAACAATTGTCCACTAAGTCAGTGGTCCCCAACCTTGGGCCTCCAGATGTTCTTGGACTACAACTCCCAGAAGCCTTCACCACCACTCTGCTGGCCAGGATTTCTAGGAGTTGAAGTCCAAGACCATCTGGAGGTCCAAGGTTGGGGACCACTGCACTAAGTGACATAGGAATAATCAGTTCAAGGAACAAAACAGTTTGGGTAGTGACGTTGGGTCATGCACTAATCAGTCACAGTGAGAAATGTCTTTCCCCTTCCTTCAGAGTAACAAAGAAAAGCCAAGACTCTCTATCAAGCTTTATGCTCTAGAAGAGCAAGGATCTGCAACACCTATCGCCTATGTTCTTTTTACATCGAGAGAAAGGAAAAGAAAAGAAGAAAGTGTATCTGGGAGTGTGAAAGACTTCCTCCACACCACATGGATTTTGAATGTCATATCTGCTGTGCATTAAGCAATTAAAAAAATTTATTTTGCCTTTGGACACACAAAATAAGACCTTCAAAAACTATTTGATACTATGATTTGATAAAGAACACAACAGTGGTTCACTTCAGGAATTTTAAAATCAAGCAAGCAAGCACAATGTAAGAGTTCACCAAAATGCAAGAAAAAGCGTAAGAACCAGCATGACTTAAAAACGATGTCCTGGTTGTTAACACAGCACAATGTAAGAGTTCACTAAAATGCAAGAAAAAGCATAAGAACCAGGATGACTTAAAAACGATGTCCTGGTTGTTAACAGTAGGGTCCATGTACAGTAACACTAGCAAATACCTTTACAACTCTATCAGCCCTGGGGTCAAGCATTCCCAAAGTAGCATCTTCCCCCTTAGGTATATTCCCCAACTATGGCATGGGAAGCTTGCTGAGAATTCCACACTCACATGGGTCCCAGTCTGTGAGGCCATAAGGAAGGACTTTTCCACTACAGAACCCCAATAGCAAACCAACTTCATTGTGTGTTTCCGTGTTTTTTAATCTCAAAAATCTAAATATGACCTTCTGGTCTCACCAATCTTTCTAGTGTAATGACTGATTAAAACTTCAGTTTGGTAGGATTGCTCATGAAAACTCTAATCTGCAGTTACTTCTGATAATGTCCAATGCTAATCTCCTGTTATTGTTTTATGTCTTCTTTTAAAAAGAAGAATTGTATAGATGTTACAAAAATAAATCTGTGCCATGGTCAAAGTAAAGAAGGACAGTAAGAAAAACAAGAATTAAGAAGAAAGGTATAATTGGCAACATTATTTTTCATTAAGCGTATATTTCACTAAAGTTGAAGTATCTGCTGACAAAATTATAGCGGGTTTTACCATACCAAAATTGTCAGTCTAAATGTCAGAGCTAAATCATGGGCTACCCGATTTTTCAATGAGGCTTTACAACAGCCAAACCAAGAATACTAGAACCACAATACACAAGAACATCCATACTTTACATTCACCTTATAATTTCACAAGGTCTAACGCTTCTTTGCTATTCGTAAGCAGGCAGATCAGAGGAAAGAGGACTTCCCTCTGGTCCACCTGCTTAGCACTTCTCTTCTAGATGCCCTGCCCTCCTGCCCCATGGTGTCAGCATGGAGGTGTACTTATCAATTGTTGTCATTGGTTGTTCTACTCCAATTCATTGTTTATTAAACAGTCACAATTTTATGAAGGGCCAGCTGTGGGCACTTGATTGGATTCAGAGGATGGGGGATAGGTGTGTATCTGCCTCTCCTGATGTTGAGAAAACCCTTATGGGACTGGACAGACTTAGCCTGCAAACTGGAGGCTCAGCCTCACCCTCAGATGATGGCAAACCATATAGTGGTGTGCATCTGTGAGATCTACAGTGAATTGCCATTAACTAGCTTGAAGCAGCTGGGGTTAGGGTAATGTCATTTGGACACTGCAGATTTCTCCATGCTCAGGATCCAGCCCTAGTGTCAGGCCAATTAGGTTCCCTCACTCTACATTTACAAAGAGGATTCATTCACAAGTAAAGATATATATTTCTGACATTCACATTTACAAAATGAAACTTCATTGAGCAGGTTTCCTTCAGGCATTCATTGGCAGCTATGTGCAATAATTCATAATGTGTCAAGTAAAATAAATATGCCTGGGTGTTGCGTTTAGGTTAGTTTTGTCTGTTGGGGGAGAGCTTCAGGATGGGGATGAAATCTTACACAACAGATTGTAGAGTATGGTAATAAATGACTGTTGCACAGAAAAAACCAAGCATCTTTTTTAAACAAAGGACAGGAATTTCTCAAAACAAAAACGTGTGGAACTTGCCAATAATTATTTAAAGGTGTACATAGAAGATGAAGAGGTGACACATTAATTCCTTGGACAGATCACTGCACTTAGCTGCTTAGGGCAGAATCTATCCACCAGATGATGATTTTCTACCATCTTAAAAAAAACTTGCCACCATCAGGGTTCCATTCCTTTGAATCACTAGTAATACTAATTGTGAAAGAGAAACAGGAAAGAGAGAGAAAGATAAGAGTGAGCCGTCCCCTCAAATAGAAGTCTGTTTAGTGGAGGAAGGAAAAGAGAAAGAGGAGGAGGAGTTAACTCTACCAAGGGGGGAGGAGGACATAAAAGATCAGAGGAGAGGGGGAGTTTTCAGTATATCCAGGGGGGAGAGAGAAGGAAAGAGGAGAAAAGGAGAGAGAGAGAGAGAGAAAGGTGAACAGAGATACAAAAAAGAGTGTGTGAGTTATTAGAAGATTTCCCTAATTTGAAGGTAGGATGATTACTACCTGACCCCAACTTGTCAAATGGAAAGGGAACATCGACAGCGGCACTAGAATGAACAGTTGTGGTCTTTCCATGAGGACCAGGTCACTTGAGGAAGGTGATCGAACCAGACCAATCCTTCAGCCGACCATCACCAGAGGGAGATTGGACCAGACACCCCTGTTATGGGACAATTTGCGAGGTTTGGAGTGTTCCGATGAGGAAACCCACCAACTGGGAACGTTCTGGTCCAGCCCCTCAGTGAACCTTGCCAATTTACAGGCAGAGTTCTCGTCTTCACACTTTGGACAATTGCCAGATCTCACTTGTTATGAACCCATAAAAGTTGTTGTGGAACCACAAAATGTTAAACCTAATAATTCTGCTAATATTTCAGAAGAGGTTCAGTTGTCATTTCCCGCCAACAGAGAGGAGCTGCTTCAAATTTCTAAAGAATTGATATCTTCCAACTTTTTTTATTTCTTTTTTTTTCTTTTTTTTCTTTTTCTTTTTATCACACTAATGCTATACAATCTGCTTTCAGCTTACTTTTTTTTCCTCTAGAGATCACCTAAAATTAATATTAACATAAAGACCATCATGTTGCTTTCTACTTCTGTCTCTGTGTGTCCACCTGAAACTTGTGCTGTTTAGCCCATACCTAGTTAGTTTGCTAATCAGAATTCACAAGGGCCACTTTTCTGAAGACACATTAAATTACATTTAATATTATAAACATTTAATGTGATATATCAAAAAATGATATAAGATTAGTCTGGCAAGATTTGATCTGGACAAATCTGCATTTATTTTCTATTTATTACTAGAATTTTCCCTGAGATTGGTGTCAGGCTGACAGGTCTTTAGTTCTCCAGGTCCTCCTTTTTGAAGATAGAGAACTTAGCCCAACTCCAATCATCTGGCACTTCACCCATAATCCATGATTTCAAGAAAATAGTAGACAGCAGTTCTGCAATCTCTTCAGCCAGTTCCCTAAATATCCTTTGATGCAGTTCATCCCTGCAGTTCAATCCTAGGGATTTGGATTTATTCAAAATAATAAGGTATTCCTTGACTTTATCAATCTCCAGCTGCTATCCTGTCCCCTCCACTTGCATTTCACATTTGCCTGGCAGGTCATAGTCTGTCTTTTGGGAAAAGATCAAGTTGAAGCAGGAATTGAGTACTTCTGCCTTTTCTTTGTAATTGTTATTTTCCCGTCCCCACTGAGTACCTGAGCCACTGTTCCTTTTCTCTGTCTTTTGAAGAATGTGTTGTTGATATTGTTGTTGTTGTTGCTTTTAGTATCTCTTGACAACCTCAGCTTATTCTCAACTTTTGGTTTCCTAACACCATCCCTGCAATTCTTTGCTACTTGTCTGTACTGTTCCTTTGTAGCCTGGCCTTCCTTCCACGTCCTATGTGTGTCCTTTTTTTCTCTCTTTGCAGGTCCTCCCTGAGTTTTTTATGAAGCTGCATTGATCTTCTTGTTTTGATGTCTTCCAACTTTTTTTTTTTTTTTTGCTGGCCTCCGCATTTTTTTTTTTTGCTGGAATTGTTTGTAGTTGTGCCTGTAGAACTTCCTTTATAGAAACTCCCACCCATCTTGGACTCCTTTTCCTGTTAGGATCTCCTGTCATCAAACCTTACTTATCATTGTTTATTAAAGTTCATTTTCCTAAAATCCATCATATATGTGTGGCTATACTCTGATTTTGCTTTCTTTGAAATCAAGAACTCAAACAGAACATGGTCACTTTCCCTCAGAAGGCATTTCTATTGGTTAGGGTCAAGTCAAGGATAGATATTCCTCTAGTTTCTTCCTCCGCATTTTATAGGAAAAATTATCAGCCACACAGCTATCTACAGCTAATGGCCTAATTTTTAGACTTTTTGAACTGTCTAGTTTGACAGTTCAAATTGTCAAAATTGTCAAGGGGAACCTTTACCTTTACCTTTACCTAGTTTGATTAACAGTTCTCAAAAACTGAAAGCTTTACACAATCTTTTGTGTATTTTCATTATTGATTATGACCCATAATTGGGCAATATAGGTAAACTCTGGACTTTGGTGGTGGTTGTTTCTCTTCATGGATCAACATGATTATTCTTGTTTCTTAAAAGGAATTCAGGTGGCTCATATTGGCACGGTACTAACTGGACAAAAGAGGTGCGAAAATGCCATACACTGCTTGAAATGAACATGGCAGTGATTATCAAGGGTTTGAATCTGCATGTGTTTTGTGTCACATGTCCTTGAATTGTGACCATCTCAGGTGACCAGAAAATAGCAATGATAAGAGCAGTTGCCAAGCGTCCTTGATAGCACACACCCACAGGAATGAGCTGTGAGCTCGCAAATAAAAATGTTACTTACTTGGAAGACATTGGAGAAATCTCTTAGGTTGAAGCTGTAATGAAATTTGACAGCTGTGGGAAGGAAGGTTGCTGCCACTTTCAGGTGCAAGGCAAGAGCCAGATTTATTAACTGCAGTGATGATTTCTGTACAGCCCCAGAAAAGTTTCCTCGCTTCAGGTGCTGTGTTAAGATGGTACTGTAAATGGTGGACAGAGCATCTGACCCAGGAAATGAGAGAGCAAATACACTGAAGTGGCGCTGCAAGAAGGAAAACACAATAAAAGGAGGGGGGACACACAGGGCCATGGATAAATGAGAGGAGAGGACTGCAGGCAAAATCATTTTCACTGATACAGCTGCTCTTCTCTCATGGATATGTCAAATGCTTTAGAGTTTCCATACACTTACCCCTTACAACTTTATCATCCCTACTTTTACCTTACAGACACCTATATAGAGATCATCCGGCAGAAAGGACTCTGTTGTAAAACTCTGAGGCTAAGCTAGACCTACACTTCCCATTCCTACCCCAGGGTTAGCTGGGACCTTTCTTTCTGAAGCCAGGCAGAGTTTGGCCTTGCTCAGCCTCAGAATCTTCTCATTTAGGTCCTTCTCTCAGATGAGCCACATTTAGTGGTTTAGGTCTCTGGTTTCAGTGCCAGAGGTTAGGAGTTCAGTCCCCACACTGTACCTCCTTATAACAGGGTCTGGACCCGATGAGCCATAGGGTCCCTTCTAGCTCTGTAGTTCTAAGGTGCTTATTATTTGATCCAGAATTTGGCTACCTAGTACAGCTCTGGTGAAGTATATATTAGGTTTCGCAAAATACCCAATCAGAAACAACAAACAGGGAAAACTCTACTCACAGTTCCAACTGGGGGGGAAAACCTGCTGGTTGGAATTCTACTGGTATTCATGTAAGGTTTGTGTAATTTGCTGCTAACTGACAAGGCGCTGTGGTATGTCTTGGGTGTGCAATTGAGTGCATGAGCAGACATGCATCTGATATGTGCACCAGCACCTTGTCAATTAGCCGCAAATCCTCAGCACAAGTTACACATGTGTTATGTGAACACCAATGATTGTAGCCACCATGTTCCTCCTATAAGAGATGTTACCACTGTTCTTGGTGCTGAAGTATGATCATGCTAGAACTGTCTAATGAGATCAAACCCTGACTGGCACAAGAATCAGGGGCTCCTCTGATCTATAGAAAGTCAAGAAGGGGCAAAAGTGATTGCAGTAATTGTGCTCTGCACGGCCAGTGTTCACATCAGAAAAATCTCCAGACTCCTTTTCTAGCAATCTTGTTTAATTAATTCTACCCCATTTCCCCACCTCTGTATAACCGTCCTTCCTCCATGTTTCTATTTGTTACAAACATCACAAATTAATTTTCTTTCCAAGTTTTCAATCCTTGAAGCATCTCTTCATATGTGCATGGGTTTAACCAAGGTTTTAAGGAACCGGGGGGGGGGTAGTTTCAGTGTTTCTACAGGTTGAACAAAACCAACAGTGTCCATCTTCTAGCAAGGTGAATCAGCAATACCTGCAAGCGTGGGTTGATAGTGAAGCTGCCAGCCGTTGGATTCATGCATGACACGTACTGCACATTCATGATTTCCTTCAGGGACAGCTTGTTTCTGTCATACCTTCGCCAGAAGAAGAAGAAAAAATGCATCATCATCCTAATCACAGCCTATTAGTGAAAAACAAACAGCAGTGTGTCTACTGGACACAGCCAAGTCTGAAGCAGACTTCAGGACATGTAGTGGACACCTGCTGTATGCCAGCTGTTTCTAGTTAATATTCCAAGGGAGACCGAGCAGTTTGGGGAATGAGGTTGGGAGCCACATATGTCTGCATAAGAGCTGGTACAACAGGGACTTGATCTCAAAGAGAGCCTGACATTTTCACTACCATATTTACATGTAACTGTCTAGGGCAGTAAATATTTGCTGACTTAGATAGTGGAAAATGTAGTACCACTGTTGGAGGGTACCAGGTTGGGAAAAGGTGTTCTAAGGGCTCCTGATGTAGCACTGCCCAGCTACCAAGGGCCGCCACATAGTTCATGGTTATCACTGACAAGATCAAAGTGCTAAAGCTGTTACTACCTGTTCATTTGTCCCACAGCAGTCCCTCTGCAACAGAGGATAAGCACCACAAAGGAAAGGAGAGTGTTCAGGGCTTCAGGGCTCCACCCCAAAAATCAAAGGGGAAACTAGTCCAATGGTTGATTAAGGGATGAGTTTGTTATTTCAGGGCCCACTGCCCAGACCACCACCACCACCCCAAAAAAGGCAGCTCATCAACTGCCTTCCTGAATGGAATAATATTTTTCTTCATAATGTCTGATTATGACCAGCTACTGGTGCCTATTATTCCTGTAGAAAGAAGAATTTCTTCCAAAGGCCAACACAGAAAAACCTCAGAGAAATACTCCAAAGGAATTCTTGCAGGTTGGTTATGGGTGCAACAGTATACGGGCTTCTACAAGCAGCCACTGGGACCTCAAGCCCAACAAGGCAATGTGCTGGTAGATACTAGAAAGACACTTTCTTTGTCAACTTAAGAAAGATATTCCAGGATGAAAGAGGTCAATACAGACTTGGAGTGCCATCAAATGGGCCTTTAGCCCACTGTTTGGTCCACTGCAGGGAACAGGTTTGTTACTTTTCTTGGCGATTGCATGACATAATCACTAGAGCAAAGCAGCCCATCTCCAAAGCATTCCTACCTTTTTGCATTCCTATCAGGTGATTCTATTTTTTTAGTGTGGGTAGGAACATTCTGTTTTGGTTTACTTCCAGTGCATGCAATTGCTGGAAACAAAATAAAGCAAACTTGGAGCTGTCAGGGGTCTTTCTTCTGTCAATTTTCTGTATTGTGAAGTGGCTTTAAAAGACAGCCACTTCAGGATATTAACAAATCAAACACTTCCTCTACTCCTCTGTGGAAAAGAAAATACTTCCTCTGCTCCTCCGTGGTGTGTGTGTGTGTGTGTGTG